CTACTGCTACTGCTACTGCTCCCGCTACTGCTACTGCTCCTACCACGACGACGACTACAAGAAGCTGTTCTACTTGAAAAAGCAGTTCTGAGAACCAAGACGCAGGACTACAGTCACGCCAGCAACCAGGATAGGATAGGCATGCTATAGACATGCAACCATGTCAGGAATGCAAACTATTGCCTGCATCACAGTACGTGCAAGCTGGTTGAGTCATCAGAAAGATTCGACGGCGATTTGTGCAAGTCTTAGTAGTTGTAGCAGGTATGGGGAAGGTGGTAGCGCAGTCGCACTAAACACTAGTCCACGACAGCGATCCACGAAATCAGGTCAGTTAATAACTACACTGGCATTCACAGTGACCTACCAAGGTCATCCACAGCGTTGTATGCATCGCCGCGGTGTCCGTAGCTATATGCAAGAAGACTCCCCCGGGCGCCGGGCACAGCAATTCGAACATGGATGGTGTGTACGCAGACGATAACGACAATGAACAACGACAAGTCTATCTTGGGCGCTGCTGGCGGCCAGGGAATAGAAAAGTTGATGTGCCAAGGGGCTGTATGCATCCATGCTGAAGCCTTCAGTGTTGTTTTCTGCCAACGCTGGATTGTTCGACTGGTCTGCCTTGCTGGTTTATCGTTTGTTTGCCGTTTCTGCTTTTTATCAGGACTCTTCGATTACCGTCCCAGGTCTTTCATGGTTGCGCTATACTTGTACCTCTTGGTTAGCAGTCTCTACATCGCGGATTCGCACTGTGCTCATGTGTTACGCTACATGTGCCTAATTCAATCAGGGTATGTACTCTCATCTCTGTGCTGAATAAGGGCACTGTAGACTCCGACTTGGTTAGGTCGTCTTCCTCTTCTCGTCGTGACGACGAAGACGACGCACCTACGAGGCTTAAGGAGGCTCGAAGGATATCTCTCCTCTCAGTGGCTCTTTGTACAATGTCTTGGGTTCGGATCTCCTTCGGATTTTTTTATTACGGCTTCTCTTAGGTTTCTCAGTCCTGACGACCACTTCACAGCGTTCCGCTCAACAAAGGGCGGTGAGGGTATTTGATGGCTTCCGTTCGCGCAGGCCGCGAAGGCACTGTCCTCTGAAACAGAGGGATCGGGATCGGCATCTACGCCTGCAGCCTAGATGCTGCTTAGGGGCAACGATAGCACATGTTCCTGCGAACATGCTGTCGTGTGGAGGGGCGCACGTAATATTAATGTCAGCTTGCATCTGACAAGTGGGAAGAGCATAGGGATAAGCTGCAGACGAATCGACCACAGCCACGACATAATGATGCTCGGACAACGAAGGACCCCAGGAACTCTTTATCGCACATTTCGGAGCGCGTGTGCGCTCTTGTGTTCGCTGCGCTGCCCGCAAGACCCTAAACCCAGCACACGAAAAGGTTCGAAACATACTGTTTTTGGCAACCTGCAACTGTGGGTTAGTACTTGGCCGGGAGTGACATGCGCGGTATGAGCTGCAAGTTGTGGCCTAAGCTCCGACTGCAACCCGAGGGAAACCTCATCTCGCCCAGCTTGGGGCTTCAAGCCGCCAGAACTTGTAAGGTGCGCAGGCGCATTATGCAAAATCGTGTGTCTCTGGCCTTGGGTCACTCCTCTTTGTGTTTTAATCTTCAAAACAACCTGCCTGCTATAGCGCTCGAAGCCTTCTGGTAATGAAAAACACAAAGTGAGGGCGGCCGGACTAATAGAGCCTATCCGGCATGGGTGCCTCAACACTCCCAAAGCTGGCTCCTGTCATGAGAGACGACCTTGTCGTGCATCTGTTGAGCCTTCTAGCAGCAGTTGGTGTAGTCCAGAACATACCTCCAGCCCTCACCCATATAGTCGCAACATGTGGCAGAAGAGGACTGGGTCATGGAAGGCTGGAATACCGCGTGGAACATATCGGCATTCATTGACCGTCCGCCAACATACCTGAGACGCACGGAATTGACTCAGTCAGTCAGAACCAGGGTGTTTAAAAGAGGAGATCTTGAAACTTGCAGACCCATGCACCCACGAACGGCGAACAACCACAACACGCGACAAGTTCACTGACGCGAATGGTGGTGCATCGGCTGGGTCGGAGTATGAGACTGAATGACCGGATGCGCAATTGTCAATTTTCAAGGACCCATCTCGGCCCATCTCGTCAGACTGCAGCCAGGCAACGCATTCACTAGATGGAGCACATTGGACCACTTTGCTTCCAGTGGGGGCTCTACCTGCAATCGAGGCGAAATCCACTCAGCTCTGCCACATCTTCACGCTTCGGGGCTTTGGCAACTGCCCAGGTACACTCCGACTGGCGCGTTGGATGAAAGCCCAGTTGGTGCGGTCGATTCGGCCGTTGATCATCAAGGCGAGAACCTCGGATCCAACTAACAGCAGCGGGCAGATTCTCTGCCTGTGTCGTTTTCGCGACCGCTGACACAGAGCCCGGAAAAGCATGATGAACCATGAAGATGGCTCGGAAGTGCAAACTCAAGGTCTGCAGCAAGTAAATACCATTCTACAACATGGCCGACCAGTTTTCAATCACTATGAAGACGTATCTTCCAGTTGCTGGTCTGATGCATTCAGGTGATCACAAAGGTTACTTTGCAAACTTGCAGTACTGTTGATACATTGGTGCAATATCCAGCAGAGATGCAATCAGCCAAACACAGGTTCAAACTCAGGTCTTACCATTGAGGATTTCCTGAAAACTGAATGTCACTCCACCGCCGCTTAATTGTCATTATCATGTGCATGAACGTACGTAGAAGTAAATAACCCTGGTCAAGTTTTATGTCAGCATCGCAAGCTAGGCTGGTATTTTTAGTTGCATACTGAAGCTTTCCTCCTGTCAAGATGGCACAATGGCATTTGGACTCAGTCTTAGTTATACCAACGGAACATCAACTAGGCATCAATATTAAAAATGGCTTTCGTTACTTATGTGTAACAGCGACACTTCGCCCACATACATTCTAAATGTCCAATCCTGAACAACTGCTGGTTCAATCTTAGATCTTCTGTTCACGGTATGTTTGAACAAGCGAAGAAGGCATTCCTCAAACTAGTCTGAGAAGTATAGGTGAGAGTCTCAAGAGTATCGCAACAGTGGCCATTTGAGATTGGGGCATGCTGCAAATACAAGTGACTATTAAGAAACTGCTCATTACCTCTCGCTAGGTTTAGCAATCACTGGTGCTTACACCAGTAAACAATACGGCAATTTACATTTGGGTTTAAGTATACCGCAGTTATCATGGGCTGTGATTTTCAGATGTTAAGCCTGCATTAAGCGACAACTAACCAATCTTTACCGTTTTGCGAATAAGGTATATGAGACATATCCTTATAATTCTATACTGACCCACAAAGAGGTATCACGCGGCTACCTGAGCATGTTTCAGCCCGCAACCTATAACCATTATCTATAGGCAAAAAGCACTGCTCAAAGAATACATGATCAAGAACCAGCTGCAACTTGAAGCATGTTTTGCTTCTATGCAAAACAAAAACTTTTGTTACAGTTGAAACACAAAACCTCGTGATCAAAGTCGTTCGCATTTGGTTTCACCGCCTGGCAAGCCATGCGCATACATCTATATACATACATGCACACATGCATGCATGCATAAATACATACGCACATGTGTACGTACATACATGCATAATTGCATACATACATGTGTATATATAAATATGTATACACAACTAGTCACAACCATAATTCGTATATATACATATCTACATATATATATATACACATACGTGTCTATATATATATATATATGTGTATACACACAGTGAGCATGGTCATCGATATGCTTGTAGCTAGTCTGCGGTACAGAGAGATGCTTCTGCCGGCAATTCAGGACGTGCCGGCTTCTGTATTGCATGCCTTGAAGCATCAGCATGCCCGGTCTCTCTGGGAACCCTCACCCGAAACCTGCGAACTTGGATCAGCCCAACGAGCTCTTGGAATTCGAGGTGCGAGAAGGGAGCAAGCAAACAGCGCATCCCGACGGTTTAGCTCCGAAAGCCCATTGAAGAACCTGTCCTCGTCATCGAGTCCTGCGAAGGCAGTATGAAACTGGAGTTCTTGGTAGCCCTGCTGAGGCCAACATAGTACATGCTTTAACTTCAGCACCGACTTCGACAATGCTCCCATCCATCGTTCATGGAGAAGGCTGGAGTGTGCACGTGGGACAGGCCTTGAAATTCTTCTTCGCTGTTGAGATTAGCTGTTGAGCATAATGCGTACAGTCTCAACCTTTCACAGAACATGTAAGGCTCGAGTCCGAAGCGACTAGCTGGCATGTCCTGACTTTCCGGTAAGATGCTAGGTGAAGCCCTTACGTAAAAACAGGATGGATCATGTTCCCGTCCCCACAACAATCGTCTATCCCAGCCACCTGAAGCCAAAACCGCTGCCCTGCCTAGGTCGGCAAGCTCTTCGTGCAAAGACTCGGTGGGTGCCTCTGGTGAAGACCACCTGGCAACACACCGTCAAGGGTCTGCCCTCCGACATTCTAACGCATGCTTTCCAGCATGCTAGCCTGTCACTGCCGTGTCTGTGCGAGGAGGTTCGTGGTGCTACTGGTAGGGTCCTAGAACGCCAGTGCACCTGCGAACGCATCTCGCAGAAGCATATATAGACGGGTGCGCAGCGCACGACCATTTCGGCAGCTTGTCCCGGCTGGCTTTATCCCAGCGCACTCTGCGGAATATCAGCATCACTGCCAGGTTGTGGACTTCTCGACATACACAGGTAAAATCGATTTCAACGTTTGAGGAAGGAACCGAGACTGAGACTAGAAGACACGAGTATCTTCAATCCAGTACAGGGCGCTGAGGTCCCTCTCGCCCTCTCGAGCTGCTGTACGAAAGACGCAGTTGTTCATCAAATGAGAACCCAGTCGCATTCAAATTGGCAGAGGCGCGCCTTTTCGTCTCGCGGGCTCGACTACTGGGCTACTGCAATGCAGAGGTGCCGCACGCGTTTTCCAGTCGTTAACTTGCACCCACCGTCCATATGCATTGCATCGCGTCATGGAGCAATCCATGGTCTGCAGATCTGTCATTGGGACTGGTTTGGCCAGTTTACTGTACTCCCATGAAACCCAAACACTGCCCAGCGAGCCCAGTTGGAATTGCAGGCCAAATAGAATGTGGGCAACATCCAAGGATCTGCAGCGTAGCAGGTAACTACCACCGAGCCTGTGTCGGGATACCAAGCCCGCAATTCTGAGCTCGTTAGTGGACTGTTGAGAAAAGCGCGGGCGCCTACCAGGAGTTCCTGAAATCGGATGTCTCCCTGACGAAGGTCAAAGAAGCTCACCTGGTTAGCAGTCGTGACGAGCTTCTCAACCTGCGGCCACAAAACGATTGACACGAGCTCGAACGAGCAGTCCCGGAACAGGCCCCAAGAAGCTTGCCCAGAACACGGTGCAGCCCTCAGTCAACCCACGGTTTTACAAGCTGGTCAAGAAGGCGTTTCTGGTTGGAGAGATTGCATGGGATGCTGTATCAGGCCCTAAACCTGCGACAGTTTGAGATCAGATCCTTTCTCTTCCCACCACACGACGCTGCCTTGCTGTGGCTCCGCCTCCTCCTCCGCACTCTCCCCTTCCTCATCATCAGCGCCACGGGCTCGCTTTTGAGTTGGCCTGGGAATGGAAAAGGCTGCAGCAATGGATGCCGGTTATTTATATACTGCTACTAAAGTCTCCGAAATTCTCCAAACGACTCTGAGGAGATCATGAAAGGAATCTTGCTTGCTGGTACGACAGACACAAATCAAAGCATGTGCTTGCACGCATTCATAAACTCATTCGTGTATATGGTCAGATATGCATAGTGCAGAAGTCTCAGCCCAGCTCAACACGACGACAACACAACTCAACAAACCAAGACATTCATCGGAAACAAGGCAACCAGCGAGTCAAGCGGCAGGTCGGATGACTCGAACTCCTTCGGTAGCAGCGGCAGTCACACCAGGCTGAACTGGCCTATCCGATATATCCTGCCTGGAAGCATGTCTTGCTGGCATGATTCTACAACCCCCTATGAACCAATGACACCATGTCTGGCAACTCAAAAATCCCGTAAACATCTCAAAATGGAAGTTTTTGGAGCCCGTCAGATTTCCCGAAACTTTCGAAAGCGGACAGAAGCCAATGCTATCAAGGCCACACTGCTGTTCAGTTTCGCTGTCATACTTGTCATTACCCCAGAATCTTCAAACCACGCTGCCTCTCCTCCTCTGTTTTCAAGCCCCGCACGAAAGAAACAAAGTCATCGGCAAGATGGGTGATCTTCATGTCCTTGGGAGCGTAGCCCAGTGAGGTCTACATGTACGAAAGACCTTCAACCTGCGTGTAAATGGTATGAAATTTTAAACCACAGACTCGATGTTTGATTTGGCCAGAGCCGGGGAGGGGGGTGGGCGGACTTACTTTGGACACGAGGTTGACAGCCTTGCCTCCAACTGCCCCACCTGAGGACAGATGGGTGGATATTGATGGCATCTTCTACATTTTGTACAGTACCGATTCGTCGGCATATTTCGTTTTTAAGGATGCAGCTTTATAGGTGAGTCCACACGGACACAACAGCTGGGAGCTCTTTGCGTCCGGATGTGCCGCTGAACCGATCGAATTTCGTTGAGTCGAGTGGATCGCGAGTGGAGCACATGGCACTTCCAGCGAGGAGCCTGCTGCATCAAAGCAATATGATGTTGCTGTCTTTCTCCCCAGCGTCCCTAGGAGGACATTCACAGCACAGAAACAAAGAGTCATCACAAGATACATTCAACGCCCTGCGCCCTGAACACCCTTTCAGAACTGAGGTCCATCAAGCCGTCAGCAGGCTTCAAGTCCCAAAGGCCTTGCAAAGACACAAAAAGCTCTGAAACTGTTTCCCGTGGTTTCTGTGCATTCACATGCCTGTCCACGCCTGCATCTCTGCGAACAGGAGGCGAACTCTTGATCGACGTGCACGACACGCGGCTCTCCCTGTGAAAGTGCAGAACTGCTCAAGTCATCAACACCACTACCACCATCATCACCACCACTAACAACGACCAACCGACCGACCCACCAACTACAACAAACAAACAGACAGACAGACAGACAAACAAACAAACACTCGCGCAACCTCCCCTGAGTGTCAACAACTGCACCGACTCAGAAACAGGTTTAGCCGCCAGGGCTGGTTATTCAGTTTCGCACTGAGGTTTCAGAACATGCTGAAAACAAACACCATGCGACCATGCTGGAAGCAACGCATCATTGGCAAGCGGCTGTAATGGTGGTTGATCATGGAAATTTCTGCGCACCAATCTTCGCTCTTTGAAGGGACTACAAAACCATGCCTCACAACTTGATTCACCGACAAAACCTCACTCCAAACAAAGATGTGTCACACATGCTCAGCAACTGCGGAAAACTTTCCAAAACCACGTAGCGCTTGTCAGCTTGGCCGCACAGTTCTCGAAATGCTTGCGACTTTTGCAGGTACGTAAGATGAGCGTCCTCAACTCATGTCAACGCAATCACAAAGGCCTCTTCGTCGGGCTGTCACATCTGTGGGGCAGACAACCCACCCCCCTGCGCGACTGAACATATGATATCACTGTAATCTCTCGGACGTTGTTCCAGAGTTTCCTATGCAATTCAGTTGAAAAGCATCAACGCGCCGGCAATTGAAATCAACGACAACTTGATCACAGAATCAATTGTGGCAAGTTTTGCCACATGCCGCACCACCACCACCACCACCACCACCACCACCACCACCAACAACAACAACAACAACAACAACAACAACAACAACACCAACAACACCAACAACACCAACACCAACACCAACGCCA